CTATCTCTTGTTTCGAGAGACGGTCATTCGGGACTTTAAATAAATAACGACCGTCTCTCGTTCCCGAAGGAAACCAACGAAACTGCATTTTTTACTGAGCCATTCATCAACTTCTATTATCTACGACAGTCCAACTATCCGATTGGTTAAATTAACTAAAATGTACTGTTTACTTTACAAACATCTGATGGGTCATTTTGTGTGAGTCTTACGCGATTTTTTTTTCCATTTTAACTCGTAATTGAACTGTACTACACCAGCTACCAGACAACTTGGATCATCCCGAGGGATTACTGAAATCTATTGCTCACCAATGTCATCGCGTGGTTGCCAATTCAATCCTCAAGTTGATTCTTCGGGTCACACATTATTCTGAAAAAGTTTATTTATTTATTTTTTATATTATCATTATTATTCTGAAAACGTGAAAAGTATCTAGAATTTTTTCATTTGTATTTCAATCGAAGTGAAAAAGGGACAAGGGTAGAGAGAGAGACAAATCGTAGTAGAAAAACTTATGTTACAGGGTAATAAACTTGAATTATTTTTTTTTCTTTTATTTCTGAGATTAAGATGAGGATTGAATTAAGATTGATGCTGGTTTTTTTTTATATTTGTACATTGATTTTTGAATTGTTTGGTAATGTAAACAATGATAACATGTAAAAGTCGAGTACATAAAGCAATTAATTTATGTGGATTAAGTAAATATGTTAAAAATTTTTTATTGAATAAATATTTATTAAAATTAAGTAAATATTTAGTTGGAAATGAATTTTAAATAGAAATGTTTATTGTAAATAATTTTATGATAAAAAAAAATATCAAACAACAAAAAAAGAATTGTAATACTACAATTGTAATTTAATTGAAACAATTTATCGTAAATTTAAATAAACAACATCATTATCTATTAACATTTAAAACAACACCTGCCAGTAAGTTTTTATAGACTACAAATTCAGAGTTCTTTTGACTCATAATAAATTAATGGTGTCAAGTTTGAGGTGTTTGGGTTCCAACAAAAAACAATCCCTTATAAATTCAACTTATTGAGGTATTATATTTAATACAGTTCTGTCTTGTTTGAGATTTATTGTAGCTATATGACAACTCTACATTAATAAAAATGATGGCAGATATAACAAATTGAGTAACTAGAGACCAATAAATTGAAAAAAAATCTGCCAATTTTATTTTATAAAATTCTATCAAAATTATTTATTCTTCAGATTTTTTTTCATTTACTTACTGTTAAAGTATTCCTAACTCAAGAATGATTGCATTCTTTATCATAATCACACTAACCTCACATTGGCTCACATTGGAGGGTATGTGAAGCAAAACAGTGTGATTATGATGAAGAATGAAATTATTCTTGATTCAGAAACTTTGTTTTTTTAGTACCATTTTCACTTTTACATTTTTAAAAAAAAATACCAAACGACATCAAATACTACTTCTGTCACAATCTTTTTCCCTACTGATTTTTTTTCTCTTCATCTTCATTAAAAAGTAAATGTTTCCAGTAATAATCAAACACGTATTTTTACCCAACGTTTCTGAGTGAGAATTTGCAAATGCATATCGCTAAGAGGCACCTGGTAGCTCTTAAGGAGACCGAATTTAATCCGAAGCGTATCATGATTTCACGATCTGCATACTGCTTACTCGAGAGGTAATTTGTCGAGACCGCGTGAGAGCGAGATGATTCTAATATTAGCACGACGTATTAACACCCGTTCTATCTTCTGTTAATTCCGATTACTTTGCTTGAATATTGCATTATTTTATTATCAATTTATTGAGCACTTGGCTTACTAGAATTTATATAAGTATGCCTATTATGCGTATTTGTAGAAGTTTAATACATTTCTAGATGACTAATGCTTATTTAAAAATACTCAAATGCATTTTATAACTGCAAAGAGAGAAGAAATTCCACTGATAATGATTCTAAATCATCAATTTTATGTCCAAAGAAAGGTAAAATTATTAAAATGTCTTATTAGCTGTAAATTTTCTGATTTAAATTCATATAATTCTTCCTACTTAACTTAAGTTTTTTTTAATTTTATTGTGTAAGTAATACACTGCATTATAATTATACGTGATCAGCACGATTGATAATATAAGAGTAATCTAGCATACGATCAAATGTTCATCACTAAAATAATACTAGCATTATTATGAGAAAAAAAAGTCGAGTTAAATTAATTTGATTTTTGTTGAGCAAAAAAAAATTGATATTTAATTCATAAAATGTTTATTATTAAAAACAATATACAAAGTTATTGGAATAATTATTGATTCACAAAAACAATTTTTCATGGATCTATGTAGTTTTTTTCAAAACAAGAGAAACAATTGAATTGTTGTCGATCAATTTCAAGTTTGTAAAATAATATCAATATTGATGCTCGAATGATTATATTATATAAAAGATGAGAGAGAAGAAATATTATAAGATATATTTATAAGCGGCAATGAAACAGACGTACTTTATTATATATTTGTAAAGAACTCATGACTCTTTGCTCAAGTTTAGTTCCGGATCGGTGAATCACAAGTGTCGTTATTTCTACGAATGATAGACCAAGTCGTTCGTTTATTTTGGGTAAATTAACGAGCTCTAAAGTTTTGAAGACATGCATGGTTTGTTCGACGAAGAAAATTTTGTCGCGGGTCCCGGACAAGTTTCAGGTTTGGGCTCGAGGGTGAAACTACCGTGAGAGAGGAGAGATATCTTTCCTGCATCGATGTCTCGAGGGAGCGTCTTCAACCCTCGAAAGTCGAGCAATGGATTAATTACGTTACTTCTTGAGTAACTACACTTCAAGTACATATTCACAAGACCTTTTTTATTCACATGAAAAAATGATGGTATATCTTTTGTTGATGGAGAAAAATAAGTGAATTTTTCTTGATGAAAATAAAGAACTGATAAAAAATAAGATGGAGAAAAAAAGAGAAAAGCTGAACAAGTTTGGATGAAAGGTCACAGTAGCTGTCAAGCCTCTCGTCTGTTTCCTGCTCGCTACTTGACGCAGGAACGAAGTGATTACGTCCGAAGAAGCCTCTTCCGTTTTTTTTCCCTCACCAGTGACGGCAAGAGCAATCTCCGTTTAGAACAAACACTCGTAACTTTCCTCGGTAAATCACGTCCAAAGAATAAGGGTTAATAATCGCGGTCAATCCTGCAACTCGATTCATTTACTCGTTTTTGTTTCTTCCTTCTTCTGTCCTAGCAAAAATCAAATCAAGGTGATGATAAGGCTCTGAACTACTTTATTGTTATTTTGCTACAGCTTTACACCCAATTAGTTGTTAGGTAACCATTCAATTCGCTACTTTTTTCTCTAATCCACCTCCAAGAATTTATCTGACGAACAATAAATGTGCTAATCATGTCAAAAGATCATTTCGATATTCTCGATGATCTTCACGAAATCAACGCAATGATGGCTTGAAATTGAATCAAGTAAACCTAGTAAGCTTTTTGAAAAATACTTTTATTGATTTAGAAAAGGAAAAAGAAAGTTCTACCAAGACACAATCACTGATTTCTGTTAGACTTTCTTTCTTGATTCATTAAAGATGATGTTGTAGTACTGTTGCTTATCATGTCAAGAGTTTCTACAAATTGTCCTTGTACTGAAACACATTTCAGAATGTATGTGATAGAGTTTACCAGACTCGAGTTAGTACTTTGAATTATTTTTCTCAAACTTTTTTATGATGATTTCTTTTTAACCATGCATGCACTTTTGATGAACTGATACAATCATTATATACCATTGGAATGTTCTTTAGAGTTTTATTTTGTTTATTATTAATACAGGAATTTTTGTGTAATCAAAGAAAACTCAATTTGAAGTGGTCATTTTAATAGCAGTGGTAACGTTGTCAGTGAATAATGCATAATAACCACGACAATCAACTATTTATAAAAAGATAACAACAACTCATGTTCTATTTTCGATTTATTTGTATCATCGTAACAATCTGATATTTGTATTATCCCGTAGAAGATCTTGTCATTGATAATTATTGAAAAAATTCTTTAATCATTTTCAAAAATAAATTACATTGATGATGCATGAAAAAAAAATCTAGTGGACAACTAAAATTTTTATTTTATTATTTCATACTCACATTTTGATGTTTCTATATTTTTTTACAAACAGTTTAATCATTTATCCAAAAATGGAATCAATCATCAATTAAAATCAACACTGGCCATCATATTTAATGAAACATTGAGAATCAATGATTTCTAAGGACATCAAAGATCATGGTCAATATGTGGGAATTGAAAAAAAAAATTAATTGACATTAATGAACGATCTATAGTTGAATTTACACCAAGTTGAAGAGTATAAACGCGATATATAGAATAATAAAGAGAATGAATATGAGAAAGTAGTATCGCTCGAACTGAGACGTTGGTTGTATAGAGCACAGAAAGTTTCTTTCTCGGCTCGTCGCTACCCTTGTGAGTAAAAAAAAATATTGCAGCAAAGGTAGCGAGAGAGTTAGGTAGGAGTGGTGAATAAAAAGTAGAGGAATTATTAATTTCTGAGCAGAAGAAGGTAAAGGGAGAAAGGAGAGTTGGGTGTAGGTGGAGGGTAGGGAAAGGATAGTCGCGAGATAGACGAGATGGAGATTGTAGGCTCGGCCTGTTGAGGTGACGTGGGTGAGGGAAAGAGAAAGGTGTATTATATATAAAGCAGTGAGTGCGCGTAGTGAGTGAGAGAAGGTAATGAGGAGGGTGAGAAAGAGGAAAAGGGATTGCGCGTGGGTCGGTTGGTGTACAGTGGACGAGCAGGCGAAAGAGCATGGAGAAGGGAGTAAACGCGAAAGAGAGAATCGCAAGGGACGCAGACTCGGGTGAGCTCGGCCGGCTTCGCGCCTATTGGCTCCAAGTATCAACAGTGGGGAAAACGCGTTTGAAAGCCGCGTCCGCGGCTCACCCGAGTGCTTCCTCTGTACAGCTTGCAAGATCCGTCAGTTGTGTCAAGCTAGGCGATCGAGTAGGACGCTCTTTAATCGTTCCACCTCCAAATTTCTCTCCCAACCGCCCGCCTGTTTGCTAACCGGAGCCACGCGCGCACAAATCACAATAATTAACAATCACTGCAACCACTTACGCCCTGTCATCACCGTCATCTTCACTACTGTCGCCCACAACTGTCAACACTTCATCGCTCAAGCCTATCGCAGTCACCGCCGTCTGTCACCATCATTCTACGTCTCTATTCGAGTACATAGGTCGAATTCAATCAAGAAACTGTAATACATGTATATATAAAGATCAAATAACTACTGGAAAAGGGAGCAACTGTACATACATAGACATATATATATATATATATTACTTATTTATATATCATCAAACAATAAGAAGGCTTTTTATTTCGAGCGTGCGTGCACATGTGGAATTGTGTGTGTGACGTAAGACAGCAGTATACTCTACTTTGAAAACTAAAACACACCGAACGAGACAAGACGTCGCGTGTTCTCTGTAATCACGTGCCACGCCGTCTTGCCGGACATTGCTTGAGCAATTTTAACAGGGTGGCGCGAACAAATTATTACCAAGTGAAAAGCAGATCACATTCATCAAGCTTTTCCATCGTTAGTTGGTGTTTTTTGTTTCATTTTGTTCATTGAGTGAAATTAACTGATATATTTCCTTTTAATGTTATTGTTGATTTTTTCAATTATATTCAACGACTGGTGGCTTTTTTAATGACACTTACATTAGACAAACGTCGTACGAGCTTTATTCTATTTGAATTAATATTACTATCAACTAATAATCATCAACAAATAAATAAATAATTAAAAGTGAAAAAGAAGAAGAAGGTAAATATAAAAATTTTCATTGACAAGAAACGCGTCAAGACAATCAAGAGTATTTATTATTAACTTGTCAGTTAGTCTATAGAAGGAACGGCAATATATAGATAGATGATTTAACCAAGAAGAAAATAAACAACAAAATTTTGTTGATGAGTGTGAGAGGAATATGTAATGGTAACTTGTCGTGTAGGAGTTACGAATATCACTGCATACTCTCACGCTCTGCTATTTAGTAGCGAGCGTAAAAAAGGGAAAATAAATATATCAACGTCTATACATATAATAGGTCTGTGTACCTACGAATAAATTTGCACATATCTGTACTGTAGTGTGTGAGCAGAAAAAAGCCAGTCTTCATCTCTGCTTTATCATTTTTATCTGCACTGACTGCATTTATCTTTTTTCTTTGTTATCTCTGTCTTTTTTTATCAAAGAGAGTACTCTTCTTATTGACTGAGCGCGTGGTCTCATTTCGCGATTGACCTTGCAACGCCGAAGGACAAAAGAGCATAAAAGCACCAGGAACGAACGCCACCTTGTGACAATCATATCTCAGTGTCTCTCTTTACTCTTCTCCCTCTCTCAATACACTTTTTGACACTTGAATATATATAAATAAATATAAATATATTTATCAGAAATCCCGCTCAATCGCACGTACAAAATTAAATTTACAAATTTAAATAACAAAATATATGCAATTGATGGAAAATAGACAAAAAAATAGCAATTGATATTGTGTAAATAAGTTAATGAATGCGACAAGAGGTAGTAGTTGAGAAGATAAAAACAAAGTATATTGAAATAGTTCCAATTCGTGTACCTACGTCGTTTCAATTAATTTATGTAAGCGTGATTGACAATCATAGCTTTGCGCGTGATTAAGAAATTAATATCAGCGGAGATTAAACTCCCTACTATATTTTCTCTAGTCACAATTGTCTCCTCATACTCTTGCTGATTCTCATCAATTTCCCAGTGCCATTTGTGCTATGAAAAACATACCAATTGATCATCATTTGTATAAATAAAAACACCACTGAGGAAGGAAAGGTAAACACTTGACATTATCAGAGACTAAAAATTCCAATTTTGCCGTAGATACATGTCATGAATAATTGATTAGGATTTTAACAATAATAATAATAATAATAATAAGTGTGTGTGTATATGTAACCCATAAATGGTAGTAGCTGACAAATAAATAGATTGAGACTGGATTCATTGGTGTGTAAGCTTAACAACATCACCAAGTAAAGTACGGGAAGCTTAAGTGAGAGTAAGATTGAAAGAAGCAAGAAGAGAGAGAGAGTAGGACAAGGATAACAGGCCACGGAAATAAGAGTGGAGGTAGGAGGTAACAAAGTGTCGTGGCAAACAACAAGTGGACCTCGAGAGTTCAGGGCAACAATAAATTTGTTGGAGAATCAGTTGAAACCACTTGACAAACATTCGTTGGCCGAACAAGCAACAAGCGTCGTGGCAATTGCAACTCTACTGAGAGCTCGGGCGGTAATCATCAACGCCTGGGAACGTTGCTATCAATTGAATCAAAATAAGCCGGGCGAGCACGACAACGTGAGCGCCGCCGAAGGAGGCTCCACCGCCATCACCACGTATTTTCATTCGTATTCGTTTGTGCCGGGAGGTGCGGTACCCCTGCCACCGGCCCTGCACAACACGCATCCGGGATTTACCGGTGGTCATCACTTGTTTGGTCAGCAGGGTTGCAGTCTTGCCTGCACCTGCACCTGCACCTGTACCGCAAGCATCGTCTCGGCAGCTGCCGCAGCTCACCATCCTCAATTACATCAGCATCATCGTGCCCTTGGCACAGCCTCCGCCACGGTTCTCCTCCAGCCCGTCGAACAAATCAAGGACGCCATGGTGAGATCCGTTTCTATTTATATTTATCCTCTTTATTCTTCTTGATACTTTTTTCTACGTCATTATGAAAGCTAGAAGATGCGTCAATTGCCATAAACTATTTTTTTGGGATTCATTTTTTTTATAACTAATTATTATGTAAAAATAATAACTGAATGTACGTTTAAAATGATTTCTTTACCACATGCAAACTTGGTTTTAAAGTTCACAGAATTCTTCTCTTTTTATTGGACCTTAAAAAAGGTTCCGACAGTAATTTAATAAAATGTGTCATAAACTTGTACGATAGCTTATAAAATCATTTGATTATATATAACGATATTTTTTCAAAATTTACCCGTCATATTTTCTAGATAATATTCATTTTTTTTTTTTCTTTTTAAAAAATGCTTCTGACTCTCTGCTACCATTCTGAATCGTTTTAAGATGAACACTTTTGCATTGATATATTTCTGTATGTGAGTAAATGTTTTGCAATGATATTTATATTTAGTTTGATGAATTTTAAATCAAAACTCTTCTTTCGATGCATCTCAAAGTATTTAGAGTTAAACGAGATGCTTAGTCAAATGAATCGATTGGTTAAAAAGAAACGTGGTTCACACTTTAATATCCTCAATGAAAAAAATCATCAAACAAACGTGAACAAATGATGAAAAAATAGTGTGAAAAGAAGTTCATTGAAAAAAAGCACGAAGAATATTCGAGAGAGAAAATGGGGAGTTTAGAAAGGTCAGTGGCCAGATGATTCATTTTTCCTCGCGATCCAATAGCGATGATAACTTATAAAAGTAAGTTGAAGTAATTCAGTTGGAATTGATGTAATTACAGGTATCGTTCGGCTATTGACTTAATCGAGTTGGTTAGGGTATGTTGTTGTATAGAAAGTAAAGCTGTGCTTTAAAATCTCAGACAGTAGCATCTTCTTTAATCGGTAGAATCGACAGGTGTTGAAAGCTCGCTAGTATCTTGAACGAGTTTGCAGAGAGCGACGAAGTAGAACAAGCACCTTGGTACATGAGGTAAATATTACCAAGTTACATTGTTCACCCCACTACAATGTAGTTCTTTTCTCGTTTACTCACTTATCTACTAGTGACAAGTTTAAATCACAATCTCTGGAGATTTGTCCCATCGTTCTCTCCTACCGTTGAGATTTGCAGTCGTCCGCAATGAGTGTCTTGCAATTAGCGACACTCCCAAAGTTACTCTTACTCTACTGGTGATTCTCTTGTTCTCTTTCATTCCTCTTTCTCTTCTTGCTCCACATCTCTATCACCATTCGTTTAGTCTTTCTCACTTTTGTATATAGACTCTAGTTTCAACTCTCAATTTCGTTCATCGTCGTAGTCGTTGGTACCGCTTTGGGAAAGATTGTACGGGCGTCATTTGAATTCACAATGTGGCGTGTGCTCGCCGTCACAAATTTGCAACTTCAACGACGGATTTGCAAGCGCTTAACATCCGTTAGTAGAGCAAATTGAGAACATCCAAGAATCTGGCGCGTCGGAAAGACATTGAAGGAGATGCAACTAGGAAAACATTGTATGCAATAAGAAGGAATAAAAAAAGTGAAAACAGTAGCAAAATAAAAATAAATAAAAAGTTTAAAATGGAAATAGAATGAGTAAAAAAGAAGAAAGCGAAATAAGAGGAAACAAAGTTGTATTGTTAAACAAATTTTCTGCAATCTTGATTATAATTATCTCCGCTATAATGAAGAAACAACAGCGGCAGATCGGATATAGCAGTTGAGCATTTAATGAATAAGAAAATGAACTTGATATTGAGGATTTAGCATGAAAAGTTTTTGATAGAAAATAATTCAATCAGTTAGTGTTTAAGCAATTAAAATATTGAAAGTGGACGATAAAAGTAAAATAAAAAGCTCTGAACATCTTATCTACTACAACACAGTCTATTGTCCTGAACTCATAAGAATTCCCTTGGCAAGTAGTAAGCGGACCCTCTAGGCTTACGTGGCGTCGAAGATTAATTCCCTCGGGGATTCTTCTTGCTCTCATAGCTAGACGGTAAGCGTGAATGGATCATTAGGTGAGACGAATCGAAGTGAAAGCTTTGCGAGGGATGAAAGGGTGTTACTTTGCATTCTTCCGAGGAGGTTATGCTTGTTTCTTCTCTCCCTTAGTATTCATTCAAGAGTAACGGTAAAGCGTTGTCATTATCACACTTGAATTATTTGTCGACAGGCCGAATCATGCCAAGACAAGTTGCAGTAGTCCTATTATTCTCACGAGAGATTCTCTCTCCTCTTTCTGTAACGTGAAACTCATGACGAGTTGGATGGAAAGCTCCTGCTGCTTAGCTGAAATGTTCTTGGATATTTTGGACATACGTTGCATACTCAGCCACTAGAGAATTTCATCCGTATAAATTATTTCCACCAAATTTTAGTATTAAACGACGTTTTGCTTAACGTGCATAAATTTTCAGTTATTTTATTTAATCAAATTTTCAAAGTATTTGCTAAGTCAGATAATCGTATTACTTAACTGTATTGGTCATTTACACATGATAAAGATCAACATTAGTGATTAAAGATTTCCTTTCTCTGAGAATTAATTGTCTGCACGCAAGCACACTGGTTGGTTAGCACGGAGGTCAAGGAAACCACATGGAAGCTCATTATGTTTCGCAGACATTAATACATCCCTAGGTTTACTCAAACGCGAATTATGGTAGAATGCTACGTACCAACTAGCAAGAAGGTCCATTGTGGTAAACTAAATTAGGTTGGAACGCCCATCTCCGTTTGTCTTGCCGCATAAACCTCTTTGGTGGTTCCTGCTTCTGGGCTAACCTTCTTGTATGTCTTCAACTCTATCTTGATGAGAAAAATATTTTTTTACTGCCACTTAAATTTTTTAAGCATCATTATTATTATTTGTTAATTATCACATATAATTTTTGACATTTATAAGATTGATTATTTTATTTTATTCCTTTTTTTTCTTTTTAAATTCAATTAATTAGCTGTTTGAAACACCTTGACGTCTGAATTCATCAGCAGCTTCCTTTAGTTTTAATCATTTTATTACTACTACAAGATGTTCAGGTTATGTTTACTAGCATTTATGCCTAAAAAATTGACAATTTTAGAATTAATCTTCTATTATTTTTCATGTTTATTTAGTAAAAAAAATTGTGTAAAGTTCTTTTAGTATTATTATGAATAAACTAGATGATAAATATTATTAACCATCCTTTCCATCGATTTTTTAACATTCTTTATCGAAAAAAGAAACAGCAATAAAATAAGTTTGATCAGTGATTATTTTTTTTGTTCTTCAATCAATTGTTCCGAAAGTTTACTAATTTAAATTGATTCAAATTGGTTTTCCAAACAGTTATTGAGAACAAATAGATTAAGATTATTTAATAGGAATTTAGTTCAGGGCTTGTTTTTTATTAAATAAATGAAAAATTTTATTTCTATTAACAAATATCTGATTTTTTTCTTCATGGCAATAGTGAATAGGAAAATTTTTAAATATTATCCACAGATAATTATTTTTTTATCATTGAAATACCGGATATATGAAGTAATAAAATAACCTGCTTTTTATTCAAAATGGTTTTAATATCATATTTATTAATATCGTACATATTTGCAGTTACTTTTAAAACATTTTTTACTAAATCAATGAATAACATTGTTAAAATATTTATATAACTTCCAATTTATACCATATATTTATTTTATTGTAAATTACGTAATCAGATTAAATTACGTTTTTGGGATGAAAAAATTATCAAGTATTTTTACATGAATTAATTCTATTTTAATGACAGTAATGACATTCTTCATCATCACAATCGTTGTTAAATAGTAAATTAACATTAACGAACCCAGTTGGGATAGTTTTTTGTTCATCAGATTTTGTTGAATAGAAATCAAACATTTATCAACACAATTAAGATTAGTACTACTTGGTTTTCTGAAAATCTGATCACGTACTTTGGTAAATAGGGATATTTTTAGTTGAGGAATTTATCGAGAACAATCTAAATCAGTTTGTGAGAGCCAATCAATGAAAGCTGATAAATTGCAAAATTGAAGATCCGAGAGAGCTTTTTAGAAGCCGATAGTATGTTAGATTTAGATTAGAATAGATTAGAGATAAGGCAAATAGAGCTTATAAGTATGGTGTTTAGAGACAAGATTGATATAATTGATGCTTTGAATTGCTACAATCAAAAATTATAGTCGACTTTTCGTTTGCTTTGGAGACTCTGAACATTGGACGTAGGGTTCTACCATCAACTAGATTACTACTAGTATATGAGTGTAACATTCGGTATATTATACCGCGTCCTTTTTCTCGTGCCTAAGGCGCTCTCACTTACTCTTGTTCGTTCTGGTAACTCTCAAGCATGCAGCTCAACTCGGCTCGGCACGTATCTAATTACCTAATGACGTTAGTTAGAGTCAGATAGCTGAGGATTCACCTTGAGCCTTGTAGCTGTACGAGTTGTTACAGAACGTTGGTGGTATATTCTACTCTTTCGCTATCTCCCTCTCTTCATTCTCTTATACTTCACTCATTCATTTTCTTTTTCCTTACACGGTACTTGAGCTTGGTCTCGTTACTTGGTCATCCCTTGTTCTAAGTACCTGGAAATAAAATGCGCTTTACGCTTGTGTAATTAGGAAGCCTTAGACAAAGAATCTGAAGAATTTAGTTCTCAGGTCATCGCCGTTTGTAGATAAAAAGAAGCTGGTAGGATATAAGTACCACTTGTTTCCAGGGATATTTATAAATAATGTTGGATTTAATGATAATTAGGACATGCTATACTACTATCAGGATTCTATCAAGGTTCATAGAATATCTAACCCATTAAAACCCACGTTGAATTAACAACAGATGCCATCGAACTAAGAAAAATATTAAATTTTAAATAAGAAAACATTAATCAACTTCTTATGGTTTCACACTCATATTAATTTTGATAGCAAGCAACATTTTCTGTTACAA